TGCATAAAGCATCCCTAACTTCCATTTTAAAACCAAAAATCAGCCCTGTAAGGGGCACTTCAGAAGTATCGCCCACTACAACTCACATTTTCCTCCACCACACAGTGCAGCCACCAACTTACAGCTCTTCCCCCTCATATCCCAGCGGAGCTGGGATTGCCTTCACGAATGCCATTTTTGTTTGAGACTTCTGTTCTGGTGGACACTCACTGGCAGGTCCCGTGCCCAGGGCACTCGTGAAGATACAGGTCAGCCAAGGGATTCTTGCTCAGCCAGGAACTGGCTGCAGACTGCTGTAGCCCAGTTGCCAAAAGGCAGGGTGGAATAAAACCTGTAGCACTGCTGGGGATAAAAACCAGAATCCTGCCCCAGCACTAGAGGCAAACATAAAGGGTCCTCCCCCTCTGAAGAAGAGGTTGTTGCAGAGGTACCAGAAAGGAGTCTCAAAATTAGGGGTGTGGGCAGCTGGAAATACCCATCCCCTCTCAGGTGCTCTTTAGGGACATGCATTGACTCTTTTTATCACTTAGAGAAATCACTCCAGCAGAATTCCTGCTAAACCATTAGCAAGCCAAAAAGTTTCCCCAAAACGGTCCAGATGCTGAACATTTTTCATTCTGCTAACATGGGGAATAATCCATCACATACAAACATTGCAGCACGTGAATCATAAAGGTCACTGTCTTGTGTTGAAATGAATCACGCTGTGCAGCACCACTGCCTGGTTTATTTATTGCACAGTAAGATGATCCTAATTACTCAGTCCTAGCTAAAAGGTAGTACGCCCAGCTCAGGTAGTATTTTTAGGGAAGTTATTTTCTTTTTGGGCTGTCTCTCTCTTTTGCTGGGTATTATATCTCATCTCTTTTACATACATTGACACATCTCTACTCCAGTCTCTCAGGAAAGAGCATTCTGTAAATTCTTTACACAAGAAACATTTTGGCTTAAGCAAAACCATCTAAAGCAGGCAAACAATCCTTGTTATTTAATATACAGATAGAATAAATGAAGTATCTAAAACTATGAAGTTGGGCATTAAATCCAAGAAACCTGTGAATGCACAAAGATAGAGCAGTTCTGTAGACTTTTGTTACATTTTTTGAGTATGTTTATATTTATTTTTTCTTTTTCTTTTTTTTGTTTCTTGGGTATTTTCACAGGTGTAATATGTACAGAAAAGACAATGCCATTCTACTTAACAGCTTGTTTTAAAACAGTAATTCAAGGTTTCTCCACATCAGAAAATGACTACTCCTCAAAAAAAAAAAAAAAAAAAAAAAAAAAAAGATCAAACCAGTTCAAAACGGCAAAGTAGTGGCTCCTGGAAAACTGAACGTAAGAAATTCCTCACCATTCCAACCACAACAAACTTGTGCTCTGAATTTTTATTTTTCACACAAAAATAAATCAAAATCTCTTTCAAGGAGGGCATTGTTGAATGATTTCAGAATTAAAAATTTTAAACAGTTGCAGAAAGACCACTTAAATCTTGCAGTTGTTTATGCATATGCCCAAATAAAATATAAAAGCATTACGCATACAATTGAAAAAAATAGTAACAGAAAGCAGTAAGAGGCAAAACAATTTTCTTCTCTATATACATAAATATTTTTACATGAGTAACAGGAAATGTCAAAAATACACAACTTTGAGTACAAAAGAATCATTTTAGCAATAGTTTTGTACAAATGAGACTTGTGTAAGCAGCATGCTTTGACAGAATGAGTTAAACCGCAACATAATTCAAAATACATTCATTTCAATCCTCCATACCAAAGATTTCTGAAAATGTAACATGAGGGAATACAGTTTAGTAACAAGTATCATTTCTGGAAAGGAAGAAAAATATAATTGCCCGGTAGAATCAAGAAGGATCAATTTCAGTTTTTAAAATCCTTGGTCTTGGTCAAGGTCAAGCCCACTAAAATGCCTCAGTAGCCCAAATCCTGCCAACACGTATGTGTTGTAACATTACAAACGTTAGCAAGGTTATGCTGATCTTGGCAGGATCACAGGCAGCAAGACTGGGCACTTTAGCAGTCTTCAACTTGGTCCGAGGACTCCAGCCATAATTATCAAGGCACTGCTCTAAAGACAGTATATTAGATACAATAGCCCAAATGGTTCTGTAAACACATTAATTACCCTGGGGATACTTCTATGCCACCTTGTTTCTTTTTTTGAACACCTTTTTGTTCACTGTGTGCTCCGATCACCTCAAAAACCTGGCAAGTGTGAATACTGTATTACCGTGTTAGTCACCTCTGAATTTGGGCCACACAATTTGGTTTTCTCTTCTGCAAGAATCAGCAGACGCAGCTCTGAGCTGAAACCCTGTTACAGTCAGTGTAAACAAACACTAAATTATCAAAACAGATTAACTTTCTTTGATGTTTGCGATTTCTCCTTCACAGCCAGTACTTATCGGAGGTTATGAAATACCCACAAAATATCTTCCCTTCCTCCTTCAAGAAAGTAATTTCACTAACTTTCCTGTATTACTCATCTTCTTTCCTTCTTGAATTACCATGTTTTACGACATTCATTCAAACCTCTTTACATTATAGCTCTGGAAGACAGCAAAAATACCTGTTCCTGCCATCTTAGACAGCGTATGTTCTCACTCTATTACATTAGCTCAAAGCACAATTTTGCTGCTTTCAGAGATAAGCAGGCACGACAGCTCAAACAGAAAATCCATACTAACCAGGTCATAAACTTCCGCTATCAATGTAAATGTAATTGAGACATAAAAGCTATACTGCAAAGACACACTAAACCACTCTGTTTTACAGCGGAACTCCTTTACTGCCTGTTATTTTGATCAGAAAAATCCATACTACCATCAGTGAAGTTGAAAAGGACTGGAAGGCACGGAGATCAATGACACCGCCACTGCCTGGGTGCCTTCACATGTGACCCACAACCTCAGCTAGCAGCTTTCTTAAAAAAAACCAAAATTACCAAATTCAAAATTGTTCCTTTTATACTCCTAAAATTTAATTATTGCCAACACTTTTACTGATAGTTGTTGATGAGAAGAACCGAGATAACTATTAAATTAATTCTTTACTGAAGACCTAAATAAAGTCTGGGGTGTAAATGTTTAGTTGGCCTCAGGAAGCAAGCAGTCCCTGGACATCCACACAGAACAAGGCATTTCCTGCATACACATGTGGATAGATAGAAATAGATAAAATTGCTATTATTTGCTCCTCGGGCACAAGACCAATGGAGAGGTCCCCACGCTTTGGGGTACTGAAAGAGATGGAAGCAAGAGAAGCCCAAACCCTAGCCCTGATTTGTTGTACATTAATCCTCCTGTACTTGGTCACAGACAGTCCCAAAAAGCCCGCTGCAAGGATGCAAAATTCTGCAGGCATTCTTCCCCAGCCTCAGAGCAACTGGGGATCTCACTTCAAAGTCCAAACCTAAGTCTTAATTTTACTTACCTCACGTTAAACACTTATTTGCCAATTAAAATAAAAAAAAAAAAAAAAAAAAATCTGAGTCTGGATTGCTATCATCCAGGAAAACCTTTGCTTTTCTGCTTTCCAGGCAGGTACTGAAACAGCCTGACATTAATCAGAAAGGTGGTTTGGCATTTCAGGGAGAGAAGCTGATGTCTAATAGATTAGAACAGCAGAGTAAACCACTGAGGCAGCAGGCACTACAGAAGAAAAGGGGAAACAACAACAACAACAACAAAAAAAAAAATCAATGTAAAGCAATATCGGAGGGAAAACATGAATTTACCTTACATCCCCAGCAAACTCTGCTGGCCAACTGTTATTTATTATTATCAGTTTATGGTTTTGGCCTAATACTTAAACTGGAAAATAAGCAACTTGAAGATTTTTTTCCCAGTCATTACTATGTAGACTAAGTCCTAACCTCAACTATGGTTCATGTGCTATTTGTTTGCTGGTTTACCCTACTATTTCTACTTCTATCCCAATAAATGCCAGAAAGCATGATTTCAGCAGCGTCAAGCACACCTGGACTTGTATGAGCTTGAAGCAAAACCAGCATTATACCAACACAGTGTAAACTGTAGGCCCAAAGTTACAATTTCAGATAGGTTTTCAGGCATACGATCAGGTTTTGGACAGTAACAGCCTACAGTAACAACTACAGCCACCCTTTCCCCCTGTGACAATTTTCACATGAACTCTTATTTTTCTAAATTGTGTCTTAGCCTAAACCTCAGGGCATGGTATTTTCATTGCTTTCTTTCCCTTTCATTCCTCCGTTCTCTCCTTCCAACTCCCCTGATAACTGCGCAGTTAATGCTACTTTTGATCAATTGGTAGAAAAATAGCAAATTGTGACCGTACGTGTCGCTATACGAACATAAATTGCCCTCTTAGAGCTTACATGGGTCTATCATTGCAATTCACCAATATAACAAATAATAATAATAACCCTTCAATACAGAACAAAATATTCCAATGAACAAATTCTATAGTAAATTTTGTAAAGTGCACAAAAATATTAATGGAAATACTAAAAAAAAGAAAAGTTTTCTAGTGTCACCATGAAAACTTCTGAAATATTGTTAAAATTAAATAGAAGTAATCTAATAAGACTTTTTGGCTCTAATATATTGGCAGACAGCAGCAACATTTTTCAGAAAAATTACACCAACTAAATATACTGTATCTTAGCAGCATAAAAAGTCCCTACAATTCGATGCAATTGCAGGCCTAGTAAGCATAAACCTGACAAAATGTTACAAGTGTAGTTTTCATTTAAAAGAATGGATTTCCATGGAATCCTAGAGGTAACATTTGTTATTTCGTTTACATTGTATTCTGGTAGTAAACCCGACTATAACCAATCACTTCCCCTCCCTCTATCTTTCCTCCCAAAATTGCACAGAGTACTGGAAAATTTAATCAAGTTATAAGATACGGCCACACTGAAGAAGCCATATTAAACAAAACAAAATTCAAATAATCCCAGAAAATAACAATCATTGTCAAACAACCGCAGCTTCACACCACCGACCGGTGCTCCCCACACACATAGATGGCACTGGGTCGAATGCGCCGCCTTGTATGGCCAGGTAGCTGTGGCAAAAACTTGAAGTATTTGGGCATCAAGTCCAAGCATGCGTCATGAAACTTCTTAATCCTCCAGTAGTAAATCAGTGGGTTCAGTGCAGACTTGAGGTAGCAGAGCCAAAGGAGCCAAGTGCTTATCTCAAAAAAGTTGTGCTTGTAGTAGAAGTGGCTGTTGAATGTGGCAATAAGGCTGTAAGTGGTGAAGGGCGCCCAACAGACTATGAAGACAAGGAACAAAATCAGGATGGTTGTGAAGGCACGAGTTTTAAAGCTCATATCGATATTCATCTGAAAAGGTCTCTGTAAGCTCATGAGACCAAGTTTGCTGGCCTGGCTGAGGCATATGCTATCAGGGTGGCTATGGATACGAACTGCATTGTGACGGACCGTGTTGAGTATGCCCATAAAAGAATACAGCATTACCAGGAATGGAATAAAAAAAGAAATTAGCAAGATAACTATCACGTAGGCTTGGTAGCCTGGGCTTGTAGAGTAGCCAAAAACACACTGAGGTGCTCTCGAGGGTATCTGCAGGTTAGGATTCCCTACTGATAACGGAAAAGCAACAACAAAGGATGCCGCCCAGGAAATCACTATGAGAATCTTTGCACGGTAAGGGTTCAGTTTATCTTGCCTCTGAACTATGATAAGAAATCGGTCAATACTAATAATAAGAAGAATGGCTACCCCTTCTATGACAAAAAGCCAGAAGAACATGGCAGAGACTCTGCAGAATATATCCCCAAAAATCCACTGAGTGGTAATGATTGTTATCAGAGCAAAAGGCATGTTCAGCACTGCCAGCAGCATGTCTGCAAAAGCCAGGCTTGCTAAGAGGATGTTAATTGCAGATCTCATAGCTGCCTTCTGGTAGACCATGAGGCAGACAACAAAGTTTCCGAGGAAAGAAACCAATAGGATAAATATCATAGCAGCAGAAAGAATGATCTGGAGTGGCAAACTCAAGCTCCTGAAAACTTCTTGCGATGGCAGGATAGCTGTAGTGTTTACCAGAAAAGTACTTCTCTCAGTAGTGAGCACGGCACCTGAACTATATCTCAATGGCTGTGTTGTGCCACTACGAAGCAAGAACTGGGGAGTGGTAAAATTCGTATAGGGATTTTCATAAACAATAAAAGTAGCATTTGAGGTCCCAGAGTGGGCCAGCGTCAACATTGCTGAGAAAACCATTGCTTCAGGAGAAATGAAAGCAGAACCAAAGGTCTTCAAGGCATTTCATCTTGTTCAGGCAGTATCTTATTCCTGGTCATTTAACAAATCAAAATGCAACTTTTGAAAGCATCAAAGTTCTTAAATTCATGTCATTATTTCCATCTGAAAAAGAAGAAATTTAAAGAAACAAAGTAAGAGTCTCTGAAACCAATGGGAACCAAATGATTGCTCCACTTCCCTTAACGACAAAAGGATCCTTAATATATATTTACACTTTAGGTTGACACAATTTACTTAAGCACCAGTCACAGAAGTCTCATAATATTTGGTCTTTTTCTTATAGATCCTGCTCCTGCAGTCTTGCCGACACCGTACAATGCTCTCAATTCACCAAGCTTTTTTCTACTATAACCAGAAGTAGAAAACTTCTGTGTTAGAAAAAAAAACTTTTCTGATTGAGAGTGAATAAATCAAATCAGCATCTTTACTTAAAAAAGCTCATAATTTTTAATCTAACTTCATGGTTTTGTTTTAAACTGCCTACAGCTGGTAATAACATTTCCAAATAGCTGCAACAGGATCAGTGTTGCCTATCTGTCTGTTTGGTAAGCACTGAAAAGCCCACCTATCTGAGCTATCCTACACAATACAGAATCCTTGATTCCATGCCAGTCATGAGCAGCAGATGCCTCAGGAAAAACATGTAAAACATCCTAAACATCCTAACCTGTTATTAATTATTAAATAACTTGTCCACAGGATTAAAGTATTTCTCAATTTGCTTCATTTAGTGACTGATTCCTATCAAGGTGAGGAAACTAACTCTTCAGTTGCTACAACCCTTCCCCCTGCAGCAAGCTTTCCTGCTTTCACAGGTCTAGACATGTGAAATTGTTTTCACATGTTAATTCATCTTGGTATCCCACATAATTTAACTGTGTGCACTCTCTTTTTCCTCATAAACCTAATCCTTAGACATCTGCTGAACTCCCTCTCTCATCATTATGCAGATACAATGCAACATTTCCTTTTATAGTTTGTGTACTGTCTTGTTGTACTATTATTACATGTATTGCATTATTACGTGTACTGTTCTTACAGACAAATAAAATGCAAGGGAGTCAAGAGCTATCTCCCCTTTTCAGTGCTAGCTCTTCATAGAACTCCTCCCCTCTATCTTGAACTATTAAATTAAATGCTCCCAGAGTACTCTGGCATCTGATCAAGCTGGAAACCAGAAGGATACTACGCCCTTTTAAAAAACAGATCACCATAGCCAGAAACATAAAGTGGGATTCACCTCATTCATTCTGGATGACTGTAATAGTCACTTCAGGCTGTTTTCATGTTTTTAGTCAGAAGAGGGATGTAAGCATCTTCAGAGGGCAATCTATCTCCTCTATCCCTGCACATGGTGACAGCCTTGTACTACTAACTGGAGGAGCTTATGTTCGGTAATACAAATCCTGCCTGCAGTATTTATGCAGGTTCTTTTTGTTATCAACACTGGGAAAAAGTGAAGGGAAGGATGAATGCTTTTATGAACTTACACAAGGACCACATGCTCCATGGAGGATCAGAAGTTTACTGTTCCCTGGACGATACTTCACCAACAAAGAAATTAACTGTAAGACATCAAAGTCTAACCTATGTCCCCACTTTGGACTTCTGGTGATCCGCATGCAAGCCTGCTCAGGCTGCTGCCAAATTCATCAAGGAACATCAGCACTATGACCTGCTCCTCTCATTCCACAGCAAAGTTATTTCCTTCCTTTCTGCAAGCTCAATGCTGCTAGATGATTCTTCCAGGGCCAGACCGCCTTCAGCATTTTTTCCAAGACAAATGATTAACCTCTCTCTTTTCTTTAATTTTCAGTGGTATGATGAAGCGATATTATTATAAATATCCTGATTTCACTGAGTCATATAAATTCCACATTCTAGAGGTCTTCCTGCTTGAATGGCAGGGAATATCATAATTTTCTATTTTATCCTATTACATTTCAAAGATTGTTAAACTCAGCAAGAGTATACTAAGCTACGTACATTGACATTTTGCTAAAATGCCAAATTCTGTTAACTTTATTCTAGATATTCCTTTTATCTCCATTCTTTCCCTTTCATTTTTATTTTATAGTAACTCTTCTAGAGAAAGCCTCAATGTTAGTTACAGGCTAAAGCATATATAGTAGCCAAAACTCTTCTTTCTTCGGTCTTTACAAACCTTTCCTTTACTAGTTATCTTTAACACATTTGTTAGAATAAAATCTGTAACCAGCAGAAGAAAGGTTAACACAGATTTCCAGGATAAATAAGCAATGATTTTAGCAATGAACATGAAAACCTCACCCAAAGTTCCACCGAGGTTTGTAACTCCACAAGCCAAGAACACTGAAGAGGGAAGGAAGCTGTAGCGTTCTGCAGAGACTGCAAAAGAGCATAAATTTAACAAATAATTCTGGATTTAAAATCATGGAGTATAGAAAATTAGATCCCCAGGGCAGTATCTTTGAGAGCTCTATAAGCGATAAGCCATCAAAGGTAACTTTTGCACTTCTGATTGTTTTTGACAAGGTCTCTCCACCAAAGCTCTAAGAAACTAATCTGCCATTAGATAAAAGTAAAGTGTTCTCATAGGCAATAACCAGTTTAAGATAAGAAACAAAAGAATGAGCAGTTCATTTTGCAGTGAAAAAAAGGTCACCGGAATGATCCCACAACGAAAATCTATGCTGGGGTTCAAGCTCTTCAACCTATAGTGGAGAAGAGGGAAATGTGATACCATGACATTTGCTGATGATGAACACGAATTAATAGTGGCACAGGGAAAGTGAACGATTGCTGTCTCTCATAAGATAAGAATAGGAAAAGCCAAAGGAATCACAAAATCCCAGGATGGTTGAGGTTGGAAGGGACCTCTGGAGGCCATCTGGTCCAACCCCTCTGCTCAAGCAGAGACACTTAAGAGTCAGTTGCCCGGGACCATGCCCAGACGGCTTCTGAGTGTCTCCAAGGATGGAGATGGAGATTCCACAAGCTCTCTGGGCAACCTGTGTCAGTGCTCAGTTACCCTCACAGGGAAAAAAAGTGTTTCCTGATGTTCAGGGGGAACTCCTTGTTTTTCAGTTTGTGCCCATTGCCTCTGGCCCTGTCAATGGGCACCACTGAAAAAGGCCTGGCTCTGTCCAATTTGCACTCTCTCTACATGTGTTTCTATATGTTGATAAGATCCCCCCGAGCCTTCTCTGCTCCAGGCTGAACAGTCGCAGCTCATTCAGCCTTTCCTCATAGGAGAGATGCTCAACTCTCTTCATCATCTTTGCAGCCCTTCACTAGACTCTCTCCCATATGTCCCTGTGTCTCAAACTGAGGAAAATTGTGAAAATACTTGCCACAGGATGCTGTAGATGCCACAGAGCTTCTGTGAATTTAGAAGGCAATTTAGGACATATTTCACATGATCTTTATACAGGTGTCCACGTCAAGAAGGAATGAATCACCCTCATGAAGCACCTATCTCTTCTGACTGCAAAGGGTGCATGGCCATCTGATTTGAATACAGGCATTTTGAGCACATACATGCAGTTACTTAACTAACTTTAAATATATACAACAGAATTTGCTCACTTAGGTTATGTTTACAGATCTTTAAAAGTATTTATGTCACACAACTTTACATTCTAAATTATGAAGTTCAGCAGAGCCTTAGATGGTAACATGTATCATAAAAGCTCTAAAGAGGAAAAAAAAAAACAAAAAACAACTGCAGATGTTCCAAGGTAAAGAATCGAAGTTTTAGAAAATAGTGCTTTATCACAAATAGTCCTTCTGAACAGAATGAAGGAACCAGACAAGGGGAGTAGGAGCAAAAGTGTTCTCCACTCTTAATTTAGTAAAAAAGATTGTGCTACCCTGCATTTCTCAAGCCAGTAGCATCCAGTATATAGCAAAGGACAAAGGACTCATAGGTGTCTATAGACTATTCCTAACAAACCCAGAAAAAGTGACTAAGAAAAATAATCTCATGTATGCTCTCTCACTGTCCCATCCCTCTAAGCAAACAGCTACCTCCTGTTTCATGCTTTCTCCCCTCAGCGTGAAACTTGTATGCTTTTCTGCACAGCGTTAAGAGGAGGCAAATGACCAACATGCAAGCTGCTGCCGGGACTTAGCCAAGTGCTTAAAGCGGGAAGCGAGCATTAGCCATTTGGCTGTTGCGTAAGTCATCAGCCACATCTCCTGAAGAAGGACAAAAGAGTGAGTGGTGATCAGCTGTTGCGAAGAAGTGTTAGGTTAGGTGTCCTAACCTAACTGGTTAGGACACCTAACCTAACACTGCAGGCTTTGGAACCCAGGTAGAAACTCTTGAGTGCTGTTCCTGTGCTTGTTGCTTCCTGATTGATGCTATCCAGGCAGCACCCTTCTCTGTCCTCTGTTTATCACTTTGAGGTATGAAATCTCTCCATGCACCACATACCAAATCTGCAATGCTCAAATGTGTTTTGGAGTTACACTTATCTAACCTGCAGGCAAGTTAGTTACGCTTTTTCTTGGCTATCATCCTTCGTAAAAGTGATTGGCATTTAAGCCAATAAATTCAAGAGGATCCCTTCTGTAGCAGTCACATATATTTTTTTCCTTTTTTTTGGTTTTTTGGGGTTTGGTGTTTTTTTCCTCCTTAAAGGGCTTCTACCATAAGCATCCACATGATTATTAAACTTGTGCCTCCATCCCTCTTCCAACACTTCCAACTTCCCCAAAATTATGTAAGGATAGAAATTTAAGCTGAAAGAAAGGGACCGATAAGATAACTTCGCAGCAATTTCATTTCAGTCCTCACTCGCTCTTCGAGAAAGACAGATCTTGTAATTTCAAAGCCAGTCATTGCTGAATGGTAATCACATCGCTTGTAAAAGGCAACCATGCTTTGGCAGTCTAAATAGGTAGGCTTATTGATGGTCAAAGTACTCATGCAAGAGGCAGATACCTTTTTGTCACAGCATTCTCACTTCTGGAAC